GTCTTGTGCAGAATAAAGATTGTGCATTAAGGGGGTGGGGGGGATCAGGAGGGAGCGGACTTGTGTGCGTGCTGTGCCATGTGTGTTATTCACAGTTCTTGTGAATCCAGCTGCAGACCCTAAGACATGCTGCTTGCCGGCCCCTCCGAGTTGTTTCTTTTATTTTGTACATTTTTTTGTGTCATTTGTGGGGAATTGTTTGGATTTGTCAGAGTGCGCGCTGTGCGGTTGCTATGGTTGGATTGAAATGTCTCCTAATAGGTGCCGGAGTTTATTCAACGGCTTTCTGAACACACACACGCACACACACACACAAGTTTGCATAGCTATCCATTTGGGGACATTCCATTGACTTTCATTACATTTCTACAGCCTAACCCTGACCACAAACCCTAAGGCTAACCTCACAGGTACCTACCTGACCCTAAAACTAACCTAAACTCAATTCACACATTGGTCCTAAAACAAACCCTCAACCCACCAATGGTATTTAAACCAAATGGGGATTTGACTTTTGTCCGCAAATACACCAGTTGTCCCCAACGGGAGGCATTTTGTCTTAAAATTGCCCCCAAATGTCACCAGACCCACACACACACACACACACACACACACACACACACACACACACACACACACACACACAGGGAAACAAAAGAGCCATAGCAGTGTTGGGATGTTTCTCCAGCGATGTATTAGGAGGACTGGGTGTGGAGGTGAACTAGGGACAGATGGGCGGAACACCCATAATCTCCAAGTGTGTTGGACTGTTTCCAAGAGCTGTCAGGATTCAAAATGTGCATCGAGACCATCGACATGTGGGCCTGTACAACCTAAATACCTCATCTAGTCTTGCAGTGGGGCACGAGGTCAGCTCTTGAGGGACTGAGAGAGCTTTGTGTGTAAAAGCTGCACTTTTATCTCAGTTTGARGAGAGGAGCAGCCCTTCCTGTTTTCGTAGAGCAGACACGCTCCGGTTGGTGTATCCACAACTAGATAAGACGGCCTCGGCAAAGACAAGATCCTTCAAGACTTAAGTGGGTGTTTTTAGTATGTCTTTATATAGAACACACTAGAACAGGAAACACACGTCTTGCTGCTCATTTCAGGCAGAGTGTGTTTCACAGTGTGGTCTGGTGTTGAGCTGGAGGACTTATGGAAGGCGTACATGTGGGAGAGAGGAAAGGAATATGATATTATGTGTGTGTTTTTGGGAGTGCACGCATGCATCCAGTGTAATCAGGTCCAGCTGTGGTCTTGAGTCACTGGTCAGATGAGGAAACGGCTTGGCTCAGACCTCACCTCCTCCTCCACATCTCCATCCATTCTTCATCTAATTACCGACCTTCCCTTCTGCTCCTCGGCACTCTATCACAATTCTCTGACTCRCACAGCTCCACAATCYGCACGTTGGCTCTGTTAAACCTGTGTGTGTGACCTAAACCATTTTGTTCTGCTTCCTATTTTTTTYTCCCACTAGTTGTCTAAGATTTCACTATAAGCTGTTATCATTTACTGTACTTCTCTTAGCTCTGTTGGCTCAGATCTCCTCTTTTGATCTTTGCTTAATGTTTGGACACGTCTGAAGCTAGCGTACTGGAATAATGAAGACTGAAAGCTTGAGTCATCCTTAAAACAAAACAAAACAGAGTCTGGTTTAGAATTCGACGACAATCTATTTTCGTTTCTCGTTTATATAAAGTGAAATTAGGTTGCACAAAATCTTTGAGAACAAAAGTTTAAGCCTGCTCCACTCCTCCCATCTTGTCTAATTTGTATAACATAAAATGAAAGTAAGTTTTCTCATTTTTGCAACCTCACTTGGTTTAAATAAGTAATCTTTATGGTGTTGAAATCAAAAAGTCAAACTTTATATGAAAATCAACATTTACAGCTGATGAGTGGAACTTCCATATGTAACTTGATGTTTTGGTTATTTGATTCTTTTTGGTGATGCAGCTCACTGATAACTATGCATGCTTTCGTTTATGTCAAACAGAAGCAACACAGTGATGAAGTCAACTTGAACAAACAAATTAGTTGAGCCTTTGTTAGAGATGGCATCCAAGAAAAGAATCTGTTGCTTCACCTTAAAATTAACTGAATAAAAATGTATCAATAAGAAAAGAACAYATTATGGACTCATTTGTTTAACTTTTTTAACTTATGAGCATTGGTGCAAGAAGTGTTTGCACAAACAGTTTTTTAGTGTCCAAAGCAGGGGTGTCAAACTAATTTTCATCGAGGGCCATGTGAGGTGTCCCTCAAAGTGCCAGTTGTAAAAGACTTTGACATTTCATGTTTAACTTTGACTAAACCTCGTCTCATTGCTGCAGCTGAGCACAGCTAACAAAAAATAACTGAGCTCTATGTGGTATTTCCTGCATACAAACAGCATTTTAACACATCCTCTTATAAATTCTGAAAACTACTAYGTGTATGACTGACTAAATGTGAACTAAATAATACAGAAATACTATTTAAAGTAAAACTAAGAGTTTTACTCACTGTTGARTTGTGGTGCGTAAACGCCATCTTGAATTCGGAACTTTCCCACTTTCTGACAAGTAAATCTCACTGGAGGGTATTTTAGTTTGAACTTACTGTTTGAAATTGGGAAATTCCCATTTCCCAGTGCAACTGAACAGCAGCTAAAGTAGCCAGCAAAAACGCAGATGGCTTTCATCTATTTTTTGAGCCCTGTGCACCTCCACTTAGTGGTAGGATGCTGTCATTTTTCAGGTAAAAGTATCAAAATGCATTATGGGAGATGTAGTTTATGGTCAATGCTGGCTTTAAAGCCACATTTGCCTATTTTAAAGGCATTAATATATTTATATTTGAAGCTCTTGTGGACCTCACAGAAGGCAGAGCCAGGCCACATTTGGCCCGTGGGCCTTCAGTTTGACATGACATGCATAAAGGAACAGACAAAGATTATGCACTGTTGTGCACTCCAACAGTTTTACTTTCTATTTAGCCAAATTCTCAAGATTTTCCAGTGTTGTGCTTATTTGTACTTCTTTTAAACAAACGTTTCTTAATGCACTTTAATAACTACAAGGAGTTACTTTGCAGATAAGACATATGTGCTCTTTAAACAATCAATATGACCTCATTATGATGAGGAGGTTAACTGTATCTTACTTCTGTGAATTATAAACATAAGTAAACAGATATTGGACTCCCCACTAATACTGAGTTAACACGTATTGTGGAGATGTTGCTGACACAGAAGCAGAAATGCTTCAATATTGTCACATTATTCTGGTTTTCTGAATTTATTTGAACATTACCCACTCCCACCTGACCTTCGTAACATTGACTCACTTCTGCATTTCAAATCCAAACTGGAAAAACATCTTTTTAAATGACCTCTGGTTACAACTACATGTTGTATTTGGATTTTATTGTCTTTTACCACTGTGCTTGTTTTTATGTTTGATGATGTAAGGTGTCAAGAAAGGTGCCTATAAATAAAAAGTATTATTATTATTATTATTTCTTAGTTTTTAAATACAATTTACATAACGTATAGGAAGCTAACGCATGTATAGCGCTCTAGTTAAATTAGTTGTCGTATCTTTTCTCTTCAGACAGAGCGTGGGGAATGGCTGCAGTTCCAGGCAGACCTCCAGGTGGCGGTGTCCGTGGCAGACCGCCTGAGAGCTGAGGCRGAGGAGGAGCTTACGGCCCTCAGATCTGCCCACAAAGACATGGAGCGGGAGCTGGCAGCTGCCCACCAGAGACAGAAAGAGGCTGAAATGCAGCTGGTCACCCTGCAGGGAGAGCTGAGGGAAACCAGGCAAAGACTGGCCTCTCCTACTGAAACCAAAGACAAAACCAAAACCCATGTTCTGTGTCAGGAACCTGACAGGCCCAGTGGAGAATCGAAGAACTCTGACAACACAGAAGGGTGTAATAGAAGCAGGGGGTGGGGGCTGTACAGGGTTGGGGGTGAAGGGGTGGAAAGTAAGAATCAGACTCAGGTGATGAAAAGTCCTGTTGACGAAGATGCAAAAACAAACTGTAAAGGTGTGACTCAGCGTTACCTGAGAAATGTGAAAATCGAGGATGGAAATAAAGGCGATGTGCAGTTTAATGAGACACGAAGGACGTTGACCACAGAGAGGTCAAGGTGAGACAAACACGACCTCTCTAAGTTTTCTTACTCAAAATATGAAATAGTTTTTGCAGTTTTTGGCGTTTCAGTTTGTAATGTTATGGATTCTTCAAAACAAAGGCTCTCTGTCCTCCACATTTGTCTTCTCTTGCATGCACTGATGAAAAACAAATACCAAGTTTGGTCAGGAATGTGCTTGTGGTCTCTATTCAGAGAGCTTCACAGGAACTTCAAGACTTTTACTTCCAGCTGCAGCTGAGTGAAAGAGCTGTCCTAAAAAACGGATTTGTTTTGTCGTCATTCTGCAGAAGCCTGTCCAGATTACCTGCCCCCTCAGACTCTCTCACCTTACAGAATGGAACATCCCAGTCCACCTCTGCTTCAACACTTGGGCCTAATAACAAGGTGAGATTCTCCAYGAGGAAGATCATCTGTTATCACTCAGCAGTGTTGAGTTCAATTATGTTTTGTCTTTCAGAACCTTGTGCAGCTAAAAGGACAAAAGAGTGTCGACTGGCAAGAAGGAAGGTCCTCCAGCGATGCAGGTCAGTTTTTATATTTTTTAAAAGTATTTTTGCAAACACCGTTTGTTTGGTTGTTTGTCGTGGAGCTTTTAAACTTTTATCAAGTTGTAATTTGTCCGACACTGCAAACTCTTAATTTGTGGTGGTTCATTCACTGTTAACTGTAATGGCCCTTTTCCACTAGCGCCTCCACAGCAYAGATCTACTTGGCTGAACTCTGTTCAGCATAGTTCGACTGGTTTTCCATTAGACTTCAGTAAAAGTTCTAGTRGGTGGGTTCATTGTAAAGTTGGGAGATCCCAGAGTCCAAAAATTGATGAAACACACCATACCGACTGGTGGTGGTGAAGTTCCATTAAGCTATTTGCTAGCCACCATTAAACATAGTAGAACACAACAATGGAGGACRWGGTAGCGTTGTGACTGCAAATGGCAGATCGGGTTATTGTRAGAGTAGCTCTTGTGATGCAACCAGTGACTCCACCCMCTAACCAATCAGTGACCGACAGTCTTCTGATGTTGCATTTTTAGGCCAGCACGATACACTTRGAACCACAGCGACGTACGTTCTGTAAAAGGGACTGGTTGCATGAATACTTGCTAGTGGAAAAGCCTTGGAAATGTGTAGAGCCAAGCTGAACCGTGCTGCAGAGGAGCTAGTGGGAAAGAGGCACAAGTTAGACTTCATGAACAAGATGTTTTGTTGAAGACATATCATGTATAATCCACTGTTTTGGCACTTAATCACATTTTGTTGTGTATTTGGAGTCTGTAGGAGCTCAGAAAATTTTAATTTAGTCTCTCCCTGTGCTGCGTAGATATCTTTATATTCTGTTTGGGTCATATTTTTAATTTGTTAAGTCTTCATTTTTTGAACAATAATGTTATAGTATTTGCTGAGGAATAATAATAATAATAATAATAATAATAATAATAATAATAATAATAATAATAATAATAATAATAATAATAATAATAATGCATTTTATTTATAGGTGACGTTCAAAACTCTCAAAATCACCATACAAAGGTCAATAATAAAATCACAATAGAACTGTAAACACAATAAAAACGATAACATCACTTAACAAAATAAAATGGTGCAAAGAAATAAAAAATAACAGATAATAAAAAACAGGACTTCCGGCTAACCAATTTTACGAGTCTGCAGTTCTGCAGATTGTGGGTCTTCATTCTCCTCTGGCTCTGGGTCAGACTCTGGCTCCTGCAAGGCTGGATGGACAAGTCTTCTGTTGTTGACATCTTTAAATCAATTTTTTGTATCACTTCAGCAGAAAAAAAGAACTTAATATTAGTTTCTTAATTTCTTCATCATCAGTGATTTTTTTAAAATTAATTTGTAAATGAAAGTTTGTGTCTAGATTATCGTGTCTGTGCTATCAGACTGAACAGGGTGGAAGTGGACGGGGTATGAAGTTCCTCATTTGCATTTAAAGAGACAGCACCAAAACGAGTTGATCTGAGACACACCTCAGAAAAGGGGTGAAAGAGGGGCTTGTGGAGTTACAATAAGGAGGAATCCAGACCAAAGCACTGCAGTTCTACTTTATGTACACCTCAACTGAATGATTTAAATGTGAAAATGGATTTGAAAGCATGATATGTCTCCTTTAAAAACTAATGTGCAAAAAATGAACCTAACTGGTTCTAAGCTGACATTGAACTAACCAATAAGCATTTCTCAATAAGGTTTGAAACAGTATTTTAGCTCCATTTTTTTATTCACTTAATGTATTTTGGCCTTTTTTAAAAAATCATAAAATCTCTGATTAACAACCAGATCTATACTTGTTCTTCAGAAACTTGAAAACAAAATTAATCGTTTATTTTAGTTCTTTAAAAAAAACACTGAATTTAAAGCAGATTGAACCTCGAACAAAAACCAGGTTGAATCAATTCATATGTTTTTTTTCTGTACGCAGGAAAAACACGTTTTAACTAATCTAATCTTGTTTTGTTGGACACCAATAGATCAATGCTGGTTTAAAACGTGCTGACGTCAGCATGTTTGCCATGTAGAGCTTTAAAGAAAAATTGATCCAACGAACAGTTTTCAACTTGGTGTTTGATTTTCTTACTGACTGCTTAAAAGAATGATTAGTCAAAGCTGCTAAAAGTAAAACAAAAAATGGTTAATGCTTTGTAAGTTTTATCATTATTGTACAACGTTTGAGTTTCTTGAATTATTTTGGAATCTTAAGCTATGGATGTAGACATTTTGCTTTAGTTTTGTAAATCATGTTGGATTCTTAGAGACACTTCATCCAGATACAGGCATTAACATTATTATTGTGATGGGCAATAAACATATTAAACAACAACAAAAAAACAATAGATAACATCCAAAACTGTTGTTTGTCTTTTGCAGGAAAACGTGAGGAGTCTTTGAATAAGTACAACTCAGCCCTCAGTGAGATGCCACCCACCAGGTGAGTCCTGACAAACACGTTCATGCAGCTGTTTGTTTCTGGAGTCTGTTAAAATTGTTTTATTCTTCTGATCCAATTTGTTCGCAGAATGCTCCATTATGAGAACAAGGCACGTCTTCTGCTTCAATGAACATTTTAACTGAAGTGCTTTTCCTTTTTTAAAGTCTTCTACAAAAAGCCCGGCTCATAAGTCTTTGTCTTTATCTTGCTGTCAGGTCGCAGGATGGTTTCAACCTGCTGCTGCGTCGCCATGGCGGCTCCAAGAGAAACTCGCTGCTCCGCTGGTGTCAGAGCCGAACTCAAGGCTACAAGGTAAAAAAAAATAAAAATATAAAACCCCCGATGTCTCTGTTTGTGTGCCTGTCAAACACAGAGACGGTAAATTTTATCTCTTTCTTTCCTTCTTTTCTTTCTTTCTTTCTTTCTTTCTTTCTTTCTTTCTTTCTTTCTTTCTTTCTTTCTTTCTTTCTTTCT